TATATGTTTATATATCTGCATAAAAATGCATGCCACTGATTCGCACTGGCTGAAGCCCCCTTAACCCCCCACCGACCCCCTGTCTCTTTTTTACCCCCCTCAACGACTTGACTGTCACTAAACGGCTCATCTAACTGCAATGCTTCATAGAAATTTGTTTGTATGGCCGGAGGAACGTATCGGAAAAGGGAGCACTATAGGGGTTAAGGGGTGTTGGGGGGTTAAAGTGTGTGTGCCTGTGTGTGTGTGTGTATGGGTGGGGGGAGGGGGGAGGTGCGGTCTGGCTGGCGGGCAACTTATTTTTACAACAACAATGAACCAGTGAGCAAGCGAGAGAACACAAATCACAGAAATGAAAATCGAAAAGTGCATGCTTCTCCCATATAATATCAGGCAAATGAACAGACACAAATATTCATATGCATATACATACACTGAAAAGAAATTGAAGCCATAGTCTGGATATTCAAGAGATCAAGTTTTAATATTCCTTCTTTTATTATTAATTTAAAACAATTTATGATCAACAAGCATTTGTTAATACAAGTAATATTTTAAAATAAAGCAATTTCCCTATCATTAAAAAAAAAAGGTAAAAACTATCTTTAAGACTAGGAATATTTTTGAACTGTGCATCTATATCTGCGGCTGTATATGTATATCAAAATACTATATACTTTGTATCCGAGAGTCGGGGGGCAACAACAAATTTACACTCCAACAGACGATGTCGTCGTGCCAGTCACTCAGTCAGCCAGAGCGGCTGTCTATAATGCAGTACCGCCCCCCCTCCACCTCTGCCATCACCCTACCCCTTTCAACCCCCCTCCCCCCTTCCTTCCCTTCCATATTCCTCATATCGGTTGAGATATACACACGCATATATATATATTTATATGCATTTGTGTCTTCATATCCCTCGACTCTTCTATAAAAATAGGCAAATAATTATTTAAGAATTTCTTGATTAATTGGCAACGTTGTTGTTGTTGCTGTAGTTGTTGGGGCATGCAAATGTTGGCAAAAAGCGAGTGAAAGAGTAAGAGAGATGGGGGGGGGGGTAAAGGAAAAGAGACAGCAGTAGCTGCAGCAGACTGATGAGGCATTTTGGCCAACACTTGATTGCATTTTCAATTGTTTGCCGTTATGCATTTTTGCCAATAATTCACATAAATGGCGAATGGGTCCCCATCTCAGAAAGACATTGCAATTGTTTTCTATGTTGGGGAAACAAAAGAGGGCAAACGAAACAAAAAACAAAGAGACATTATGCTACTTTGTTGCAAGCTTAAAAAAGTGGAGAGAGTTAACATGGCTATTTTAATGGGCGATTTTAATTGGATAAATAGGAATGAAGTCAAGTATTTGTAAAGAAATGTCATTCAGTTGACATGATGAGTTAATGCAAGGCCATGCAGTTCAATGAGCTGAGGTATTCTGAAGTTAGATAATGATTGCGAAGGTTTACCAATTAATGAAGTCAACGGAATGCTAATTATGCATTTAAACATTTGTTTCTAATCAACCTAATGGTATGTGGCTTTTTCAGCATAGTAAAGTGGCACAGTTCTTAATTAGCCAATCTATTTATATTTAAATATCAAAATGATAGTAAGTTATATAGATTTTCTTTCCTACCTATGATCTCAAACAAATGACTTTAACTCTTTTAGCACCTAGATTTCATTCAGTGTGACAGTTCTTCCGTCTCTAGCCAGCAATTAGCATATTTTATATCAATTCTTGTCATACACGCATTCCACACCTTGCCATTTAGCCCCCCCCCCACGCTCTTTGAAAAATCCCCCAACCTCCGCAGAATTCAAGTGTCACCGCCCTAACAATTGACAAAGTTGCACAAAGGCTTGCCGAAAGAGACGGGGCGACAAAAGGCAGAAAGAGACGAGACATCGCACTCCTTTTTATGCCCCCCTAATGTCCCTATCTACTCTCCTACCGTTGATGCTCCTGCTTCACCGTCTGTATTTTCACGTCTGTGATGTGTGGCTCTCGTTTATTTTTATCAACTTTAGTTTTTGGGCTTTTTTGCGCTTATTATGCGGCAGACAGAGAACGAGAAGGGTATAGACGGGGAGTGAGGGACAGAGATAAAGATAGATAGAGATAGAGCGATGGAGAGACATTTCGCATATTCAGATTCATCTTGTCGTTCCGCATAAATAACTGTCGCCTTCTCTCTATCTCTTTGCCTGCTCTGTCTGGCATGATGCATGCATTATTTCATTAAAGTATTACAATATTAATTCGATTTTCACTAATTGACAAGAAGAACAAGAGCAGACAGAGCAGAATAAAGCGAGGATAAAATAACGCATCGAATTGGATTCCGTACGAGATATTTTAAAGTTATGACTTAAGTGCAACAATGTTATTTCTATTTAATTAATATTCAAATCCCTCTAGATCTCATTAGGTTATCCCTTATCCCCCTCTTAAACATCATTCTATATCTTTTTAGTTTGCTCCCAATCCATGGGACTTAGTTTTGACCTGGTTCTGAGGCTGTTTAGCTGACTTAAAGCTACTTGAAAAAAAAGCCCTCGAAAAAATTCGCGGATAAACAAAGGAAAAAGGCATACAACACGGGCGATATGGAGAATCGGGGAAAGGGATATATAGGTGGGTGGTTTCAGAGTCTGCAAATGTTGCGGTTTTTACGCACAACATTCGAGGGGGCTGGTGGGTTGGAGTCCAAAGTGAGCGATAGAGAGGGGTAGATGGGCTCTAGAAAGAGAGGGGTAGATGGCAAACTGTTGCTCGACATTTTGCGTTGGCATGTTTGGTATGCTTCTGACCCCAAAGTACAAATCAATTGCATGTGTATGCTGCGGTGACTGTGTGTGTGAGTGTATCATTTGCACATCACACACACACACACAGGCAAAGATATTAACCCATACACTAGCAGACTGGCCACGTGCTGTACTGGACTGCGAATGCGAGTGCCTTTTGGTCAATGCCAGCCGACTGCCGGCCTTGTCTCCCTGCGAAATTGTGTCAATTGCAGTGGCCACTGGGAGATGTCACCCCCCACCCACTTTTCACACCCCCATCCCCATACACACACACACACACACACAATGTCAACAACATGCGCAGGTTGCGCGAATTTTCGCAAAAAGGGGGGCGGGAGAATTCCGAGTTCGTTGCTTTTTGGGGAAACTCACGAGGCCTATGACTTTTCAATGTCAAGCAAAGGTTCATAGGAACAGTAAACTAAAGCTTTTAATATTTATAGGGCTCTGAAGATACCTTTAATGATCATCTTTTTATTAGTTAATTTACACCTGCTAATTAATAATACTAAATGGTTGTGAATTCCAGCTGTTGATCATAAAAGGTTATACATAATGAGCTCCTGTTGCTCATCAAATTATTTCCAATTTCCTAAGCAGTTCAACAAATAAGTAGATAAAGTAATACGTTCCTGAAAGAGACCTCTCTACTATTCCTATCTATTTCCCTTGAAACTGACATTCTTTGAACTGCAGTTTTACTTATAATTCTTTCCCCTTCTTCAATAATTTTATCAATTCCTCAAAGGTTGAGCAGACGCCGCGTGGCATGACCTTCAATGCGAAATCAAAATCAAAATTAAAATCGAATGCTCCCACGCATTCAATGGGATGAATGCTTAATGATGATCTTCTTTCCAACAAAGAAAAAATACGACAAAAACCGAAACGAAACGGGGCGAACGCTTAATTTAATTTCCTCCAGACAAAATGTGAAATTCGATCGAAAGCATTTTTGTATGCCGAAAAAACAAAAAGCCCAACAAAGAATCGCTCAAAAGTTGAGGCAATTTTTTTTTTTTTTTTTTTTTTATACGTCTCTTTGGTTTTTGCATATCGACAAGGGCAAACAGGAAATCCATGTTTATGTTTAAATTAATAATAATACAAGAGAGCAGGGCACATATATAATATAAGAAGGGTATCAATGAAATGCTGCCCATTGAACGAACTCTGATGATGATGATGATGATGCTGACGTTATGCGGGACAGCATTAATACAATAAATTATATTATGGCTCTTCCTGTTTGCTCCGATAAAAAAAAATAAAGAAACGAAGAACGAAATTGAACAATATTTTTCGCTCTCTTCTTTCGGTTTTAGCTTTAGCTTTAGCCTTTTTTTTTGCGGGGGATTGATAATAATGCCTGGTCGTGGCTGAATCTGGCAGATCTTGAGCGTCTGATTTGTGCAAATAATTGAAATTTGCATATAATGAAGGCGACACTGGGGGCGTTCAATAAAGGGGGTCTTCGGGGGTCTGCGGGATCTCGACATTTTTTTTCTTCTTATTATTTCTTTTTAGTGAATGAACCATTTCATGCACAGTAGCTGCAATCAAGTCGTGTGCTAACTCTTTCGGTCCCAAGGATCAGTCTATTGTGAACTGGCAACATAAATTACATTTAAGGTGAAGTAACCCCCCATCCACTTTACCTTGAAAAGAAGAGAAAAAAAAACCCTAAAGCCCAAAAACGGGTCCGCAAATTGATGATCATCCCGTAATGAGCATGATGATGTTGCCGTTGCGCCCACTTTGTGTGGGCGAGATGTTGCTGGTGTGTCTGCCGATGTTGCTGCCGTGCTGTTGCTGTTGTTGCCGCGTTGTTGCTGCTGCTAATGGCAGACAGACGAGACAAGTTTTGACATATTTTGTTGCAGGAGGATGGAGAGGACAGCGGAAAACAGCAACGGCAACGACATGAATGAAACGCAAATGAATGAAATGCGGCTCGAAGGCAACAAACACACACACACACACACTCGGGCCAAACAAAAAGCGCAAAAAAAAAAAAAAAACAACAACAAAATATTCAGAAAAAAATACAGAGAAAGAGAAATCTGAAAACAGGACCCCCTATCGCATGTGTGTGTGTAGTTATCATTATAATGCCAGTCGCGACAAACATCATTAGTTGCTCACCACCTTAAGTGGAGCACAGTGTCTGGCCCAAAAACTTACGAATTCAGAATGAGAGCAATGAAGTGGGAATATTACCTGCAATGAGAAGAAACAAAGTAATTATTAGTAGGGTACAAAAAATAATTATCAAAAGTTAATGCTAATATTTATAGGGTATTTACAAATCAAAAGATATTAACACTCATCATCAGAATATTTGTATATTTTTTATCAACCCAAAAATTAATGACTTATTTCCTTTAGGTAATTAAATTTTAGATCATTTTTGAAATGCTTAATGATCGTTGATTAAATTGCCATAAAAAGTGTTTAATTAGTGATTAATCATTTTAAAATGTTACTCACAGAAATACTGCACTCTAGAATGCAAACGATATATATATTGTATCAACTTCTGATCAAGGTTAGGTAATATTGTCTTATAATATCTACAAAGATATCTTCTTCTAAATAGCTAGTATAAAAAAAGTGAATCACTTGGAATTTCGGAAAAAACTGCCATAAGTCAATCGATATGTAAGATCAATTTGTTTTTTAGATCTCCCTTCAAATTCATATACACAAGATCAGATAGCCAGAAAAAACCAGAGAAACGTATCTGTAAAATCCATACTCACTAATCCAATCAATAGAAAATCAACACGGAAATCGAAGTTCACAAATTCCAATCAATATCACTAATCAAAACACCGTTGGTAGGATCACTAAAGTCGGTTGGGAATATTTCGGAGCCAGAGCCAAGTCGGTCGGAATACGTCGGTAGCCGATATAACGCGTCAAATAGCAATTAACAACTGATGTAGATAATTCACTGGACAAATTATTCTGAGCGCGAAAAAACTTGAGCCCACCGAGACATACAAACAAATACCCACAGTTATATATATATATATATATATAATCAAATCCATATAAATACACATGTGCCTGTGTGTGTATTTATCCACACACGCAATGGCCGCAGCATTTTGTGATAAACGACGAAATAAAATCAAATCTAAAGCTCCCAAAAAAAAAAAAAAAGAACGAGCAGAACGAAATAAAATAATCACAAGGCAGCTACTGAAGCTGCCTGCCTTTGTATTTGGATTTGTATGAATGTGTGTGTGTGGTGGCATTAGTAAAGCTAAAGAAGAGCAACAATTTCTAAACAAATACATCATCATCATCATAATTATAAAATTAAATTCCTGTTGCCTTTTTTATCAATTTTATTTGTGGCCGAGCAGAGGAACAGGGGATCAGGTGTTATAAAGGCCATACATTTCGTGTAGCAATGTTTAAGTATTGCTAAAGATACCGAGAGGCAGAGATTCATATATATACATATATATATATATATATAGGAGCAGATAAAGTTAGAGTCGAATGTGTGGTTAAGATATCCAGACATATAGCTGCCATATTTATATAGAGACGTAATCAAGTCAGTCAAGTGGAGCGCTGTCTATTGGCCGAAGGTACAGATACAGGGGTACTGTACCGCCCCATATACACCGACATACAGATAAGATCTACGTTATCTGCCCCTGATATATATGGCTATATAAAACACGCACATATATATACCACGCATATATAGTATATATCTCCTCGCCTGCTTAGTGGACAAACAAATAGGTGTATAAATAAAAACAAATTACAACAAAATGAAGAGAATGGAATGAGACGAGGGTGCCAGCTAGATAAGCCCCCCAAAGGCAATTCAAGAAGTGGCAGTCATATCTGGCTGACGAGCACGAGATATAGCCATAGATATAGTCGAGATATCAGTTAATCGGCGGCCATATACCCACACACACACACACTTACTTCCAGAGAAATTCACCCGCATGGCGGAGACAATCGTCATAAATTGTTTAGTTGTTGGCTAAACATGTTGAAAGATTTATGGTAGGGCTATACGCCATCATATAGTGATTTGTAAGAAATCGGCCAGATATACGCGCAGATATATATAATATGCGAGGTGACGGTGACGGCGGTCCCATACGATTAGGCAATGGCGTCAGTTGGTTAGTTAAGTGTGAAAACTGGAAACCTTGAGCTACTTGGATTATTTGCTCTTGACGTCTGGAGGCTCTTCGGACTGATCGCCTGGAGGTCGAAAACATATAGGGTTTCCAGAGAAATCTAGATGTTAAAATGCGACCAATGGGATATCTTTTCATCTTGGGCAGAATACCACGATGTGTCCAACTATTGAAACGATAAAAAATAAATGAAAGTCCGAAATGAAATGACATACCATGAAATACAGCCACAGAAAAGGAACAAAAAAAAATGCTATATATCGCTCCTATCTATACACACAATCGGGGGGAATATATAAACGAGCATACTGATATATGTACGTTGCCCATCTATATATCTATGTGTATCAAGCGAAATCCCTACAATAAAATGGGGCGGAGCACAAGTGGCAAAAAAAAAAAAAAAAAAAGAAAATATCGAAACGAAAAGAAATGAAGGAAACGAGAAATGGGAAAGCAAAAGAAGAAAAATCTGCCAAGTGAAAAGAAATCGGAGCCAGCTGAAGCTCGAATGGCAGTGGAAATGCGAATGGAAATGGAGAAAATGGTGGAGGGGGGGAGGACGAAATGGAGGTGGAAGGAAGCCTCAGTATCCAGCAAATCCTGATGCTCCAACGAATGTATCTGTATCTGTATTTGTATCCGTCTCTGTCGCGTGTGTGTGTGTGTGTGTATCTCTATCTGTAGCTGTATCTGTAGTTGCCAGCACTCGAATAAAATCGAATAAGCATAAAAACGCATGCCATAAGGATACACGTGAGTGTGTTTTAGCGTGTGTGTGTGTGCTACAGTGTCCTGAGTACATAAGCCGATGCTGTTGTATCCATAAGATACATGTCTAAGCGGGCTGGATTTGGGTTGGCTGCGCCTCGAACGCATATTCAATAATGACATAAATAACACACGCACACGACGACGGCATCCTCCCAACCCCCCTTTCTTTTACACCTGGTTTTCTTCGTACCGCTCGTTGAGTGCGCTGCTTAGCACCTAAAAGCATGCTACTATTTTTTCCACTCACAACAAGGGTTCCTCCACCAACACTAACACCAGCGCACACATGCTATGCCATGCTGTGTCTGTGTGTGTGCACTTGATTACATTTCTGCTTCTTCTCCTCTTCTATTTTTTTTCCGTCTTTATCCCCTTTGGTCTTTTTTCCTTTGGCTCCCTACACATGTATATAATATATATTGACGTACACCCCCCTCAACGCTGGTTGGGCGCCTTTGGAACTTGGGAACTTGTCAACCCAAACCCCCAAACCCAATCTCCACCCCAATTCAATGCCCCAAAACGCACGACACGACAAAAAAAAGGAAGAAAAACCCCTCTGGTAGTAGGAGTGATAGGGGGTTGGAATAAAAAAAAAATACTAATAATAAAGAAAAAGAAAAAAACGAAGCTTAAAGGGCGCTCAGAGAGAGCGACATCGCCATCGACAGGAAAACGAGCACGAACCGAAAAACGAAGCGTACGAAGCTCCTCTCGAAAAAGCGTACTGGGTGGTAATACTGGGTGGCAGCCTCCCATTTTCAGGGACTTAGCTGTTGATGGCTTCCCAATCGAAATCGATGTTCGTATGTATTTCGCTCCTTTTTCTCGGTTACGTTTCGGTTTTTTTTTTTTATATATTTTGTTTTTTTTTTACCGAACCACCCTAAAATAGAAATTTCACTCGTTCGCTCGCTCTCTCTCTATCGCTTTGGTACTCTCTCCTTTTTTTGGGTGGGCCATGGTTGACAATATTTCTTTGGGCAGCTTTAAGGATTCAACGATGTTCGGCATTGAGTCGAGTGAAAGTGCCGCCTTGTAAATTTTTTTTTATTTTTTTTTTGTTTTTATACCCATACTGCTTCTTCCTTCTGTTTTATGGCTGTCTGGCAGTAAGTCCCCCGGTCCCCCGTTCATTGGTTTTTTGTGTGTTGCTTTTTTTCCACTCATTTTTCCGTTCTTGTTATATTATTTTCCTTTTTTTTTTGGACGCTAAAGCTTCGGTTTTCGAGTTCGGGTGCCAAGATAGAAAGGGACAGAGCGAGTGCTCAGCAAGAGAGGGCCTTTCGCCAAGGAGGGGGGTACGAAAAAAAAAGAAGGGAACCCATACGGGCAATATCAAATTGGATTGGTTTCAGTTTCGGTTCGGTTCGGTTATATGGGGTGTAGTGGGGGGAAAAGTGGGTGTAGAATTTTGTCAGGGGGGTTGGTTTTTGGGTGATTGGATGGATGTCGTGTATTGGCAGCTAGGGGAGGGTGACTGGGCGACTGAGAAGGAGCACAACATTTTCCTCTCCTTTTTTTTTCTCCCTCGCTTTCCTTTTTTTCCGCACATAAAAATTTGTGCGTCAATTGAATTCGATTGGACGAATCCAGAAACGCACGACTGGCTTTGTGTGTGTGTGTGTAGGGAGCGAAAGAAAGAACGGAAAAAAAGGGCAGCGCAGTTGGCAGCGCAGCCAGCGACAACGAAAAGCTGTTAACCTTTCGCACATAAACACACACAGAGAGAGATACCCACCGTATATATATGGATTGCTTTCAATACATATCGGCAACGCCTTTCGGGCCCCACTTGTGATTGGTTTTCACCGCACAAGCACACATATAGGCAGTACATAGGGGTGGCAGGGGTGCATGGGGTAGCATGGGTAGCTGGGCTGATATATTCCCATAGCAGTTGACCCCAAGTAACTCGATTTCTGCTCGAGCCGGGCAGATGAAACTTTGGCAGGGCCTCACTGGGGGTATTTAGTGCCGAATTTCGGGAGAGCAAAGAAATGCGCCCATTGGGCGGTTTAGTCCTATTAAAACCCCAACGAACTATTCTTCTCATTAAGTTGATATTTTCAAATGTCTTTTAAACGTAATGTGGTGCGCCCAAGTTAAGTATTTGATAAGTACAACCCTGTACATGGACCAAAGGAAAGATATAAACACCTTCGTTGCTAAAACTTTAAGTATCTTTGGTTTTAGTTGATTTCTTAAGTCGAGCATTCATCAATGCAGTAATAAACATTTGTTAGCCTCGAGAAACTATTATTTTAA